CTGTAGTAACATCTGTAGTAACATCTGTAGTAACATCTGTAGTAACATCTGTAGTAACATCTGTAGTAACATCTGTAGTAACACTTGTAGTAACATCTGTAGTAACATCTGTAGTAACATCTGTAGTAACATTTAGTCATTGGTAGCTTGAATTGGTTTTTCAGATTATTTGGTGTTCAGACACAGCTGTGTTGATTAAACAGCCGTTTAACCAACATCTTCTTCTTCAGACGTGTTCCTCTTGTTGTGTTTTTAACTCCTTTCAGTCTAATCTGTAACCGGTCCGGACTCTGAAGATCATTCAGGTTCAAGGTCCAAATCTGAGCTCTTTGTCTGAAATAAACACATTTTTTATAACTTTTATCTCCGTCTCTACATCACAATAAACAGATTACTTCCTGCCGTCACCACTGTACGTGTCGAACATTGAACCAAACATTTTCTTCACATTATTTATAAATCTAAATATAAATGACTTTAATTCTTTGGGTTAAATATAAATTAAAGTACAAACGTAGATTTAGCACTAATCTCATGTTTAAACTTCCTGAACTTTAGCACTGTTTTTATTTCATCAGTGTTGCACAAAAAAAGATCTGAAGACAGCAGAATTTACTATGAAAATGTTAAAATAAATTTTTTATTAGGCCATGGTTACAGATGAAGGAAGTTGTGTTTATAACTTGGACTTGGCGACTTCCAGACAAACTCATTAATCATTAATCCAAACTTCACCAGATTATTTTGGGATTTTTCTTGTAGAAATTCTCCAGATTCTTCTGTTTTTACCAAGAAAACCTGAAAAACGAGTCAGCTGGACCTCAGACTTAGTAAAGTTTGTTTGAATCAGTTGGTTTCCTGGCCTGAACTTGACTTTTATCACAGTCCACCAGTTCCTTTTTTGAGCTTGGTTTAATCCAATCAGAAACCAGTTCTGATGTTTGGGATTGTGGTCTTTTTGGACCCAACTGTGTCCCAAGATCCAGCCATGGAGGTTAGTTCAGCCACTTTAGCACCACAGCATGACACTACCAGCACCATGCCTGACATCTGGTTCCTTGTTCTGTTTTTAAAGCCTCACCTGGACTCTTTTTGTCTTTTGTTTTGTGGCCCAGATCTATCTGTGTCACCACTGGCCCAGTTGTGGTTTCGTATAAATGGCATAGATCTGTCTGTGCCACAACTGGCCAAGTTGTGGTTTATATATGTGGCATTGATCTATCTGTGCCACTAATGGCCCAGTTGTGGTTTTGTACTGTATATGTGGCCCAAATCTATCTGTGCCACTACTGGCCCAGTTGTGGTTTTGAACTGTATATGTATGTGGCACAGATTTATTGGTGTACCACTGACCCATTTGTGGTTTTGTATATGTGGCATAGATCTATCTGTGCCACTACTGGCCCAGTTGTGGTTTTGTATACGTGGCATAGATCTTTCTGTGCCACCACTGGCCCATTTGTGGTTTGGTATGTGTGGCTCAGATCTGGGTCTATATGGGTGATATCAGGCAAACATCTGGTGCTATTGCTAAAATCTGTTTTTGGCCATGCATGAACCACCTCTGGCCAACTGCATTTGGGCCACCAAAGGCCTGTCATTGTTTTCGATTTGTGAGTCAAGTGTGAACTGAAGTGGGCCAGATCTGGACCAAACCAATTTCTCTATGTGGGCGATATCAATCAAACATCTGGTGCCATTACTAAAAACTGTGCTTGGCCAGCACCGGGCCACCTATGAATCTGCAGCTGGCCCATGCATAACCCACATCTGGCCAACTTCATCTGGGCCAGGAACGGGCCCTCGTTCTTTGTGGCGTCTGGGCCGAGTGTTTAGATATCAGCTAATGAAGTTGTCTGTGGTGAATTCAGGACTGAGTGGAGACGGTTGAAGGTGTCCAGTGGTTCCGTCCTCAGGTTGGTCTGGTTTCAGGTTCTGAGCCCGGCTCCTGGTGCCGCTCAGCTTTTCCTGAGAGCCACGTGAGGCGAAGCAGGACTTTAGACTTTAGAACGCACACTCAGGTGAAGAAACACGCCCGGYGCTGCAGGAGGGCGTGGCGACCGAGCTGCAGCCGAGGTCTGGTCCRATCTGCTTCCTGTAGAGGGTCTGATGGGGAACCGGGAGAACCGGACTGGACTCAGGTTTGGGTTTTTCTCACTGGTAGACCCACATTAAGGTGGCGTGTGTAATCTGATCTGTTTAATCTGCATGCAGTCCGGTTAAATCCATGAAAGTGGTGATTACTGGACCAGAACCAACTTCAGCCACGTGTGGTTCAGCGAGGTGGACCTCTGCAGCACCTCCAGCTTCAATGATGTGTTCAAACGTCCCCGTCARGAAAAGACTTGTTTACAGCGCTTTCCTTTGGTTCTCAATAAAAATATAAACACACACATATATTTATATATATAGGTTATTATCAGAACCTGGACGTAGTTCTGGTTCTGCAGCTCTAATCTGACGTTTGAGGAAGTCCGCTGGAGTAATTTCCTGTCTCCTGTTTGTGACGTGGAAGAAACTGATAGTGTTTATTTTTAACATTTTAAAACCTTCTATGAAGCAACCCAAAGCAGAAACAATGGGACCGTTTGCACTTAACTCCTGGCTAGTCTTTAGCTACTTTTAACTCCTGGCTAGTCTTTGGCTACTTTTAACTCCTGGCTAGTCTTTAGCTACTTTTAACTCCTGGCTAGTCTTATCTACTTTTAACTCCTGGCTAGTCTTTAGCTACTTTTAACTCCTGGCTAGTCTTTAGCTACTTTTAACTCTTGGCTAGTCTTTAGCTACTTTTAACTCCTGGCTAGTCTTTGGCTACTTTTAACTCCTGGCTAGTCTTTAGCTACTTTTAACTCCTTGCAAGTCTTTTCTTACTTTTAACTCCTGGCTAGTCTTTAGCAACTTTTAACTCCTGGCTAGTCTTTCGCTACTTTTAACTCTTGGCTAGTCTTTGGCTACTTTTAACTCCTGGCTAGTCTTTAGCTACTTTTAACTCCTTGCAAGTCTTTTCTTACTTTTAACTCCTGGCAAGTCTTTTGTTAATTTTAACTCCTGGCAAGTCTTTTGTTACTTTTAACTCTTCGCAAGTCTTTTGCTACTTTTAACTCCTGGCTAGTCTTTTGCTAATTTTAACTCCTGGCAAGTCTTTTGCTACTTTTAACTCCTGGCAAGTCTTTTGCTACTTTTAACTCTTGGCAAGTCTTTTGCTACTTTTAACTCTTGGCAAGTATTTTGCTACTTTTAACTCCTGGCTAGTCGTTGGCTGTGTCCAAAACGGCAGGCTGGGTCCTCCGAAGGCCGAACTTGTCGG